AGAGAGAGAGAGAGACTCGCACCGCGTTGAAAATGATGAATAATTTTTTCGTCTTTTTAATTCTTGAGATTTCTTTCTTTTTCTTTTGCCGAATTCTCTGTATCCTCTCGACTCCTTGAGATTAATTTTCCTACGTTTGACAAGCGAGCTAGACCGTTGTTACGGCGAAGCTTTCGATAGAAACCGTCGTGAAATGAGAATGGCTGGGCAGAAGATTGGGCAACGCTTTCGGGTATGCTTCGTCGGCTTCCCGTGCACCGACAACGCGGCCATGTCATGGTATTGATTCGAGAGAGGCGCGTTACAATGAGCGACAGCCTCTGACGGTATATCCATTAATATTTTCTCGGTTCCCGATGTGAGGCAAACCCTCGAAATTCCGAGTCAGCCTCGTGCGAGGGAAGAAAAATGGCTGGGAGGGAATATCGAGAATCAGCAGATTCACCACCACGTGAAAATGATTATGATAGAACTGATAAATTGGTGGGCTCTCCCTGCTATCGTCGCTTATCCAATTTGCAACGAATTTGCAGTACGAAGACCCCCGCGGCCGTACATTTGTAATTAATTCTAGAATTAGCCAAGTCTTCCTAGTCGTTCTCGTAATTTCACTCTAAAATCGTAGTAAAAGATCTATCTAATCTCTTTATTTAGCTCAATTTAAATTTTTAACCGAGTTTTGACTTATTATTAGCCAGGCATTTATTTGATAACGTAGAATTCTTCGGTAATCTTCGATCTGAGCAATTAGATTCTAATTGTTTTTTCCGACGTTCTCAATTATCTCGTTAAAAACAACTGTAACAACAGGCACATTTCTTAAGTTAATAAAACAGACGGTTAACGCAGATACGGCATTGGTATACGTGGCTGTTTCTCTGCTTTGTGTTCACGCACACATCCGCAGTTTCGACCCGCAAATGGTGGCGTTCTCAGAGACGTCGACGATATTCCCTTTGTTCCTGACGAACACGAGACCACTATATTGCGGGTTCTCAATCTTGGATCGTGCGCGAGCCGCACAGCTGGAACGTATTTTGGCTCGATGTCGGACAGATCGATAAATACCGTTCCCCAGACTAATAAATTCATGTCCTTGGACTGTCATCTACTAATTTAGTCATCGATTTGAGGTTGGCCTTTTCTAAACCTGAATTTAATGGAGCATATGTAGCTCCAATCAAAATTCTGCTAAGATAAAGTTTGCTTAAAAACAATACAAAGCATGCTAAAGTTTTTATTAAAATAAGTTTATAATTTGATTGCGGCTAATATAAATATCGAGGATTTTGCGACTCAAAGAAAATTTCTCTTGAAATTCTTTGAGGAGCTAATTTTTGATATCAATAATCTTTTTTAAAAGAGAGACGGCAAAATTAGCCTCCTGAACGTAAACCTTTGTTGAAAAAAGATTTTATTATTCAGTGAATGTAAATATTTCAATCATGTTTCTCGCAAAATTATTTAAAAATATATCGTCGATTTCTCTAGAATCAGCTAAGAAAGCTGTCGCATTATTATATAGCGAATAAATATGGGAACCTCTGCCGCACCATATCGTCGTGCACAACGTGACACAAGCCAGGCCTGGTTGGTCGGTGGCCCCGACTAGCACACTCAGGGCCGTAAACGGGAACTTTGTCGTCTTTGTATCGCTTATCTTTCCTTATCTCAATACAATAAAATTTTACAAAAATACCACATACATTACAGTACAAATGTCATGAAAGAAATCGATAGATAAAAAATATACATATTAATATATACCAACAAATATTGTTACCCCAGATATTATCAGTTTGGAGAGGCAAAATAATATCATTTGTTATAGTAATAAACATATCAAGATAAACGGGAAGTAAACGAGCGACGCAATAAGAATAATCGATATTGGATATTCCTGAATAAATAATATTCCGAATTAATATTCACCGCTTGATATCAAGCGCGGATCCTAGATGAGCCCCTTCTACCCTGCTTACAGCCCTGCCAGGCATGGTTGTGCAATTGCGACATAGGGCAGCCATTGGCCGTACAGCTTGGACAAGAAAACCTAGGGCGCGGGGTAAGAAAACAGGCAACAGCTGTTCGGCCGCAACGAACCCGGCTTTGGACTCACGAGGCGGCTAACCCCGGCTGCCCTGAGAAAAATGCGCTGAGAAAAAAGACAACTGCTTGCACGGACGAAACTGGCGATTGTACGAACAAAACTGTCATTCGGATAAACGAAGCACGCTCGAACGAGCGATTCGGACGATTGACATCGATTAAGATCGGGAACCACCGCGATTTTGAAATCATTGTACTCCAAGAATTGTACTCCAAGATAAAATCGGACAAATTGAGTAATTGTCATGGCATTGAATCAGAATAAATTTACCCGTTAAATAATAGCCTCGGATGGAAATCGGCGTAACATCCATTTTAATTATAACAGCCAGTAAATTCAGTTAATTCGATAGTAAAATTCAATTCGTGTTATAATAACACATAATCAAGTTCAATAAACCATAATGGCTCCACAGTTATAGCGAATAAATATGCATCCAAAACTTCAATAATAAAATTCACTAAGTTGATTAATCAAATATTTAATAAACTCTGGTAGCTATAATATTTGAGTAAATTCAGCTTAAAGTTTCACACATGTTGTTGAATTATACAGAGGCTATACAGAGAACTCGCCTTTCATGAATTTGCGGATTAACTCATGTGTTCGTACAACAGTGGTCAACTAGTATAACGACTACTTAGTTGATTTCCCAATAATCGAAACGACTACTCGTATCAGAGAAGTCGACAACGACTATATTACAAAGGTGGCGTTTACTATGCAAGACCATGAGTCATCACGAAGTCTCTTTAATGTATACTGGGTGAGACAAAACTTTCTTTAGTTTAATTCGTACATTTTTCGAATATTCAAAATTTGATTTTCGTCTTAATCAAAATTTGATCGAATGAGAATCTTCACTTATTCACTCTCAAATCTCTAATCCATTAATTGCAGACAGATTTAGCATTCGATTAAAAACAAAGATAATTTAAACAGAAATCTTGAATAGTATCACGCGAAAGAAATTCCAATAATTTATAGTCTTCCGCCCAATTATCGTCGAAAAGGATTCCATTGCAAATTGGCCCAAGAGATCCATCTTTGAAAAAAAGCGTGTGACTTATGGGACACAGGATACGTGTAATTATACGTATATGTGGAGAGAGAAAAAAATGAGTGGAGGATGTAATATCTCATTATTTATGACGACTTCGTGACAGCCGAGTCATGTGAAATTTGAGAAAACTCGCGAGTTCCACGCCCATACCGCGTCTGGCGCCAGGGGCGAGGGGAAAAGGACACACGCACACCATGTATATATTTTCTATTAAAATTTCCAGATAAGTTATCAAAATTATCGGAACTTTTGGAACTTGAGCGTATTTATGTCTCGGAGGAAATGAGATATTTCGTGCATGAGTTCGCACAGTATCGTGGAAGCGATGAGCATCACGCGCCGTCGGATGCCGTAGGGTCGCCTCCACAACTTCTGCAACAACTTAATCCCGTGGATCGCGATAATTAAATATTTCAAACCTTAGTATCATTCCTAATACTCTAATACTTGAATCTTCCAGCTTAAAACTTCCGATTCACATTTTAGCTTGAATTTGCTTATGAAAAAATTAAAGACGAAAGGACATAATAAGGCACTATTTCTAGAAACAGTACGGGTATTAGAAAGCTTTCTTTAAAACATTTCTTTTAAAATCCTAAAAATAATAATAGAACGACGAATACGTGGAATGTTCAAGTTGGTAAAGTTGATAATTAAGTCCATTCATGATTAGCTGGGATTTCTATGATCTTGAGGAATATTAGGAAATGTAAAATCCTAAAAAAATTACATTTTTTGTACCAATTTATCTCTATAATTATGTCGATAATTATTTCTAGATATCTCTGTAATTATGTCTAAATATTAAATTGACATTTCACTCAAAATAAAATTTTTGAAAAAGTTAGTGATATTACATTATCCTTTATATTATCCAAATAAAGTAGAAAATATAATTCCTCTTTTCCTCTCAATTCATGATTTTTTTTTTGAATGAAACATATCAGTTGGCCTCAAAAATTTAAGATCTTTGAATTCTGAGAATATTACGCGAGATAGCCGATGGCACTTTTGTGTAACCGCCCAATTTTAGATCGATTACATAATGACTCCTTGGAATCTTAAATGTCTGTTGTCAGATATTTAGAACATTGACTGTTATCAAAATTGTTAAGATGGAAATAACACATCTTTGAATTCAATGATGTTGAAGATTGTAAATTATACACGATAACCAACCGGACTTCTTGAAATAATCGAATATCAATTATTGAATATATATATCGAATATATATATCGTCATTACACCAATCATAAATCATTCTGTTTTTTTATCCTGATCTTTGTCCGAACTTTAGTCTTAGTTTGTAATGACTATTAGTAGAAGCTTAGAATCTTCCCAAATTTATGAATTTTAAAGTATAAGAATTATCACAAAAAATTTTAGCTGTGTAATCTGTAAAAACTTTCGACATTCCTAATTTTTTGGATAATCTTATACTTGGAGATTCTCTAAATTAAAATTTTTTAAATTCTTTATCTCTTGCATTTTAGAATTTTACAATAATTAGACAAAATAAAAAAAATCAAACAAGAAAAAAGGATATCATTATTTTATGATTTTTAAATATAACCATAAGTTACTTTCAAAAAATGTTATAATTTGAGAAAAACATGCAAATATAATATAGAAAAGATTTTGACTTTTCAATTTTTTAAATTCTTAATTTTCTAGAATATTATATCGTCCACAGCTAAAGGAAATAATAACCACAGAATGACACAAAAGAGCTAGTCATTAATATCCGGTTTGATGAACGATTGTCATTCGTTCTGAAGTCGAATTTGCATGTAACTTGGAAGAGCTTTGAAAAATCAAATAATTTTCAAGAATTCGTTTTTAGAATTATATTTCTTAATATTCCTTAGGAATATTATCGTAGAAATTCCAACTAATCATGAATGGACTTAGTCATCAATTATACCAACTTGAACATTCCGTCATATATTCGTCATTCTATTCACAGGTAGCAATTGTACTTTGAAACTGACTAATTCTCACATTGTCTTCAAAAATTTGAGAAATACAATGCAAAATTTTTAAAAATCAACGATTTACAAACAAAAATGTAATTTTCAATTTGGAATAATCAACACGAACATCGATAATTCTCCTGTAGAAATCGATTCTGATAATACAAGGATCAGCAAGATCGATGAATCAGCTAATCCCAAAGTTCTGTTCTGGACACCAGCCGTCGGAAACCTTGGGCTTCAACGATAGAACTCGCCTAAGGGCGTTTTTCTCCAAATTTCTCTTAAGGGGATCATCATAGAGGGTTGAACAGAGTTTCGACGATAGAACAAAGACTTTCGGTAAGCGAAATAAAATAGGGAAAAAAAGGAAAGACAGATCACAACACGAAATTTTTCCTTCATGTTGGTCTCTTTCTTTTTCTCACTCTCTCTCTCTCTCT